ATCGATTTGCCAAAAATCGATTTTAATAAAAATAAATAATCGATTTTTTTTGTATTATTTAAAAGTATATGCTTTCCATATTCCAATAATAAACCTAAGAGATTCATATTAACTATTTATCAAATTAAAAATAAATAAAATTATATGAATAAAAAAATAACCTATTCGAAAAATTTCAAAGTAGGGAATTAGGAAACTAAATAGCATTATTAATACTCATTTTAGTACTATGAAACGTTTTATTTATTATAATAAAAATGAAATGATGAGAATTTTTTATTTGACTAGTTTTAAAATAAAACACTTAAAATGAGAATTAAAAAACTAAACGACTACTCTTCATCAACAGTCTTTGATAGTCCACTGCTGGACGTAGTCCACTGCTGGACGTAGGCCTCTCCTTAGAAAGGAGGTTTTGGCTTTGGTTACTCTATAGTCTCAAAAACTAAACTAAATTACAAATCATTCGTTAATCTTTAAGTTTAAATAATAATTATTGTCACAAATGTCCATGCAGTCCTATTTTACATTTGACTAGTATTAAAATAAAATACTTAAAAGGATCATTATCAATCCTGAACAACTACGTTATGGTCTCTAAAACTAAAATAAAAAACAATCTTTCGTTAATCTGCAAGTTTAAACAATAATAAAATTAAAAATAATTATTTCCACAAATGTGCAGTCCTATTTACATTTGACTAGGATTAAACAATAATAAAATTTAAAATAATTATTACCATAAATTTTCAGGTAAGTAAGCAGTTTAAAAACAATAATTTTGATAGTCTCTTTCCTAAAATACGGTTTCGTGTTTTCCTGACCACATTTCCCGCTTTGGAAAATAATCTTTCGGACGAAGCAGAGATTTTTAATTCAACGCATAGATGGCGCTGTTTTTAAAATTGAAACATACTGCAAGATTTTTTCATTCTTCGCATAGATGCGAGCTGTTTCTGAAAATCGATTTAAACACGTAATTTATATAATCGATTTACTAAAAATCGATTAACATTACTATAAAAATCGAGAATAAAAAATCGATTATAAGAAAATAATAATCGATTTCAATAAAAATCGATTATTTTTTAACATCCCTAAGAACGGGCTAATAGCCAGCCTGTCGTCGTGGAGACAGCGACAGCGTCGGATCGTTCGTCGCGGCCTTGATAATAAACCACGTGGCCGGCACACCGAACCGAAAAAGTAAGTAAAACTACGTTAGATTGACCGATAAAATGTGTTAATTATCAATAACTTAATTCTCTATGTAGCGTGAGACAAATACCAGAGTTCATTTCATTCCTGTTGCGTTGTAAAGTTCGAGAAGTATATGTGTCTAAGTATAAGTCTACGTTTTTATTTATTTATACATATTTAATTGCAGTACAAGTTTATCTACAGATTTGACAATTAAATGCAAAGTATTATTATGTGCTTTTATATAATTTTACATTCAATTCGGTACGTTTAAATTATGCGACGTTGTTTGATATTTTTAGTAAATGTTTTGTTGTTTTGTCAAACCTAATGACTCAATAATATAGTAGTAGGGAAAACTGACGCGAAAATAGACAACAAGAATCTTTGTTATCGTGTATCGTGTCAAAAGCTGATCTCAATCGGTGCATAACTTCTTGGGTTTTTGAGGCGTACACAAACCAACTGAACATTTAAACAGGTAGATATCACTTACGGAAGTATTTATATACGGATTATAGCTACCTGCGTAATTAATTATCGTAGATTTTTTTAAATATGGTTTGATGACATCTTGAACTTGTTGACCCCTAAGCTGTTTCTTAAACCAATAACGTGAGAATATTTTTATGATTAAATTTAATAATGCTGAGTTTTAAGTTAGTTCTTATTATTGATCGTTAACTAATGCGAATACTCAGACATGACATGATACGATCAATTAAGAACCGCTAAATTTTCTGATAATAACTGATAAGCATAATTTAATACTCGTTTATTTATAAGTAGTAAATAGTAATTACTGACCGCTCTGTTACTTACGTGTAACTAGTTGAGAATGTATAATACTATAACAGTAGGTGTGATATCGGAGACATGCATGGTGTTGTTGTTGTCTCTTTGACCACAATAAAATCGCTTTGTTGTTTTTTCACCTCAAATGGGTAGTAATTTGCTGCCTAAAGGCTTCCAAACGAAAATTTAAAAGGAACATTAAGAAAAGTACTTGTGTTATAACAACAGTATTATTAATACTGTGGTGACATTTTGAAAATGTCAATAAATAGGTTTGAACGAAACATATCAATCGTAGATAGCATCTCCTATTTAAAAAAAAAAATTCGCCCTATGCCGATTTTTATCATATTTGATTGGTCTCTGTTTACAGTTCTCCGTTTCCGTATCAGAAAAATTATTAGATTTAAAAATTTAACTAAAAATATGGAAAAATTATTTTCTCATCTATTGTGTATGACTTAAAACATGAACGAGGTACGGTTAAAAACGCTGCTCAAAACGCATTTGCGGTTAGCCGCATTGCGGTGTGACTGCGGACCACAGAGTACAGTAAGTGTGCGTGTACAAGGTGCCGCCTCCGCGCCTACACCGAACCGCCGCCGCACCTCCGCGCTATGTATACGAGACGCGTAAAGTCCGCCGCCGCACCTCCGCGCTATGTATACGAGACGCGTAAAGTCCGCCGCCGCGCCGCCGCGGTCCCCGCCACCCAGATGCTAATGATACTATTTTGTTATTTATTTCATTACCGGTCGCCTAAGAACGTGCACGTGCTTACTAAACTATCATGGAAAATTTTGATTACGAATTGTTTATAAGTCTAGTAGAGGAGAGAGAAGTGCTATGGGACAAACATTTGGAAATATATAAAGACAAGCGGAAAAGTTTAAAAGCTTGACTTGAAATCTGCCATATAATGAATGAGAACTTTGCGGAACTACCTAATATGGAGAAAAACAAACACGGTAAGTGTATTTTTTGAATAAATTTATTAATTCGTTTATCATATTAACAATAATGATTTTGCCATGGCACACTGCCATATTCGGAATTAAAGTAATGTTTATATTTGTTGTATATGTCATTAGCTGTTGTAGGAACTATTTCTATTTGATTTGATGGCAGAAGTTCCTGTAATTCACCACACTCATTTACTGATGCCCTAGTTATACCCTCTTCTTTGTGAATAAAATTTTGGAATAAACAATCTTTCACAATGTCGACAGCTAAGTCCAACGACACATCTAACGGTCGATGAAAAATTCGCCATTTGTTAGCCAGTATGCCAAAGGTACATGCCACATATCGTCTCACTCTTGTTAACTGATAATTAAAAATTGTTTTTTCTGCATCAAGTTGTTGACTGCTATATGGATGCAGTAAGTTCTGATGTAGTGTAAATGCTTCATCGCCTACGAATACATATGGTAAAACAATGTTCGTATTAGGCAAGGGTTGTGGCGAATTCAATATATTGTTGACCATGCTGTACCTGAAAGTAGTATCTTTAAAAACACCCGAATCATAATCCTTTCCATAAGCACCGACGTTAAAGTAAATAAAGTTGTAGTAACTATCAATACAATCGAAAAGTAATGTTTGTAGTTTAAAAAGATCGATCCACTGTTGTTTGGTTTAACTACTCTTATATGCTTCCCGTCGACAGCACATACAAAATGAGGAAAATTCGCAGCAACTTCAAATTTATGCGCTGTTTCTAGCCAATCGTTTGTCGATGGCATTTGCATATATTTTGTGCTAAGTTCAGACCATACAAGAGAACACACTTCTCTAACAATTTTGCACAATGTTTGGTTTCCTATTCTAAATCGATATTCATGATCTGCTAATGAAGTACCTGTTGCTAAGTACTTGAACGTAACGCAAATAAATATTATTAATAATATCAGGTAAACTAATGGCCCAGAAATGGAAGAACATTAGAGATCACATCACATCAACAGCCTTTAATAGTCTACTGCTGGACATGGGCCTCTCCTTAGAAAGGAGGTTTTGGCCTACTATGCCACGCTGGCCAGACGGGTTGGTATAGGGTTTGTGTCAAGTTTTCCTTTTCTTTGCAGTGCTGTTATCCTGCGTAGTTTGCTCCCTTCCGATTCGGTCGCGGCCTATAGGCCCATCGTGCTGCTGGACGAGGCGGGTAAATTGTTTGAGAGAACCGGTGTGGGCGGCGGCTCTGACCGCCCAGAATAGGGCACGCCTCTGGCGCCCTCAGAGGGTAATGGCGGTCAGAGCCATACGCGGTTACCGCACCGTTTCGACGGAGGTGGCACGCTGGCTTCGCCGCCGTGGAGGCTCTCCAGCCGGTCATCGCCGAGTGGGCAGGGCGGCAGCACGGGACCCTTTCCTTCCGGCTGACGCAGGTGCTTTCCGGGCACGGTTGCTTCGGAAAGTACCTGCACTCGGTCGCTAGGAGGGAACTGAGTCCCGCCTGCCACCACTGCGACTGCAGTGAGGACTCGGCCCAGCACACGCTGGCGGTCTGCCCCGCATGGGCGACGCAGCGCCGGGCCCTCACTGCAGTCATCGGAGTGGATCTCTCGCTACCGGCCGTAGTACGCTCCATGGCCGGTAGCGACAGTTGTTTTACCGGTCGCCTCTTACGACACCCACGGGACGAATAGGGGTGGCGACACTCCGTATTCTTAATCCGTCACCACACGACGGACATGCCATTAGAGATGCTTGGATGAGATGCGACCAAAATTGCTTGAAACGAACCCTGGATCGGGTGCAAAACCATAAATATTAATATTATGATAATTTCAGTTTCTAAAAAAAATCACTCAACACTACCTGTATCTGGATCAAATATACCGGCAGAAAGATCGAATATACCGGCAGAGAAAAATACATCTAATGAATTGGTGGCAACAAAAGAAATAAAAAAGAAGAAATCCATCCCGTTGAAAAATCCTTTGAACGCTTTAAATATGATGACATTGTAGAATTTCAAAATCAAGTATTGAATATTATAAGAAATGTTCAATATAAAAATAGTAGCGCACCACATCAATCAAAAGCCGTTGAAATATATCCGGCCAGCTATGGTTATAGTACTGCTGCTGGGCCAAGTTCAAGGAATCAATCTCAATCATCTTCCTATAGTACTGAAAACAATTCTTTGCAGAGAAACGTGAGTCCGTCAAATTCAAGCCTGTGTGATTATGATTTTTCTGCAATAAAATAAGTTTTTTTTTGACTTACCTTAATGTGACAACCAATCTCTCTGTTGGACTTTTACTTGCTCGAAAATTTGTTTCTTTGTGTTGCAGTTCACTTTTTAATAAATCTAATAATTTGTCGAATGTGTTGTATTTTTAACTTACCTTAATGTGACAACCAATCTCTCTGTTGGACTTTTACTTGCTCGCATATTTGTTTCTTTGTGTTGCAGTTCACTTTTTAATAAATCTAATAATTTGTCGAACGTGTTGTTATTCATCCCAAGATAATCACGAAACTTGACTTAGTCTTTTCGTAGATCTTTATAAAGTGTATGAAATTCACCATATTGCTCCCATCGAAATCGAATAGGGAGGAACTTTCTAGTGGACTTATGACGTTCATCCTGCCATTTGCTGTACATAAAGTAAGCTAACATTAACTTCTTTTTTTCGTTATACTGGACATGACACGTGTGATCTTCGTGGCAGCAATCTTTGGCTTAGGCTTGACGCGTCTCGTGTACATAGCGCGGAGGTGCGGCGGCGGTGCGGTTTCGGCGCGGAGGCGGCACCGTGTACTCACGGCCTAATACTATTAGAGACCGAACTGCAGTCAGTCAGCGGTAAGCCGATGCGTTTGAAGTCGAACCTTTGTTGTTTGACCTATTACGAGTAGAAGGTGCGCGCACGGGTGACTTTTTTGTCACTCTCTAGGAATGCACTTTTTTTAGCTTGCACCGATTTTCTGGATCGTAATAGATCGCTATTCGCTATCAATATTTTCTAAATAATTATGTACGGTAGAAATGAACATAGACTACCATATTAAGGAAGTTCCGCTGCTGGTCTGCAAAAGTCCTGTTTCCCTATCCGTTTCGAAGACTCGCTACATTCCTCAAACAATCTCAACTTCGTTTTCAGGATCTTTTTGGCTTTCCGATGTAAAGTTAATAATTTCACCTTCAAACCAGTTCTTAATTTTCAACAAGAATCTTCCACTCAACAAGAATCTGAAAACCCCAACTAGTATGGGAATGAGAAGGATGCTGATAATGATTTTAGATTAGTCTTAGCTCTATACACGACCAAGTTATTTATGTTTACTAATAAAACGACATGAGTACATTGTTATTTACATGTCTCTGCTACTGCCCGGAGGTTTTCATTTCATCTTCATTTTCACATAGAACAGTCTTACTTTCGTTATGATCGGTTGCAATACGAGTAGTATACTATTATCAATGTCGAGACCAAACCTTTACCAACGGCTGAATATTAAATGGGACCACCTGGGAAGTATTCCCTTTAAAAAAAAAGAATTATCCAAATCGGTTCTGTCGCCTTTGAGTAATCGGTGAACATACATAAAAAAAAACATTCTGACAAATTGAGAACCTCCTCCTTTTTAAATAGGCAATATAAGCTACAATTTAAGGTATAATTGCAAGGGGTATTTTGTTTGTGTGTAAGTGGTATTTTACTTTTTTTCAATAAAATCAGACATGCCTTCTTTGGAAAGAAATTAAATAAATATGCGATAATATCGTAGACTTAAGAATAATATAACCGTAAGTACACACATGCAACATTTTCCCCCATTTTTAACCGACTTCAAAAACACAAAAGGGGAGGTTCTTTTTCTTTCGACTGTATTTTTTTCTGTATATTTGTTACGCGATATATCCGTCAACTGTCTACCGATTTTTGAAATCGAAAGGGTTATACTCTCGATGTGGTCCTATTTCCAGCAAATCAGAGTCTGATAATTGGATCCTAGAGTAACATGTTTTAGCTTGTTTCTTTAGCTATATAGGTATTTGCGTAGTAAGTAACGAACTAATTAAACTAAATTTAATATAATCTAATATACTACAGTTTGGTAACATAAAACAATACTACAAGCACAAACAATACAAAGAACACTAAAAATTAAAAAAAATATCACATATCTAAGTGAAAAAACTAAAATAAGTCCCACCCTCAATATAACAGGTAACATTATAATAACAATAGATACCTTCTACTCTGTTTGAAGTCGGTGCCAAGTCAAATAGGTACTTGATAGGCTTGGAAGAAGGTGGCGTGGCAGCTGCAAGAGTTCATGCTGCGCAAAACATGCTGAATGAGCCAAAGTGGGTTACCTGTTTTATTGATGGTCACACTTACTTTCGTTTTTTCACTCTATATAATTTATTATTTTTTAATTTTTAGTGCTCTTTGTTAGTATTGTGTAAAGTTGGTTCGACTTTTTTATTTTATTATTATTTATATATTATATTATTTAAGTAATTATTTTCACAATTGAACACTTAGAAGTACTACTAAATAATTGAAGGCAGCAAGAGCTTGAAAGACAACCGAGTAAAGTTTTAAATGCAAATCGCGTGACATATCCACTTTGACTGCTCATTACTTAACGATAAAGGGTAATTCATGATTCTTATACGTTGAGAAATCATGATTAATTACTTAATGACTTGACTTTTTGGTGTCTAAATAAGTCAAACATATAACAAAAACCGCATGAGAATTTGCATCTAACCTAGTCGAGTTCAACCCATTACAACGTTTCAAGTTTACGATTATGTTCCAATATTAAAGTTATGTTGTTGTTTATCGTATTGCATTTACAGATGACAGTTGAGGATCTGTCGTGTAAAGTGGGGCCACCATGCAGCTTGGTACTTTCAGATGGCACGGTATTTACAGGCAAAAGCTTTGGAGCTCGGTTGCCCGTGGAAGGAGAAGTTGGTTAGTATTTATATGTACTTAGTCGAAATTAAAATGAAATCAAGTCACATTAAATTCAATAAAGCAACTATATAGTTAATTAGTCAGTTATAAAAAAGAGCATTTTCTTATTCAGAAATAATTGTGTTTATTAAAATAAGTCCAAAAATAACTAATAAATATGATATTTATTACAGTATTCCAGACGGGTATGGTGGGATATCCGGAGTCCTTGACAGATCCATCTTATCACGCGCAGCTCTTAGTGTTAACGTATCCACTAGTTGGCAACTACGGAGTACCCGATGAAGAGGAAATCGACGAACATGGAATACCTAAGTAAGATTATACATTCAAGTATTATATAAATATAGGGATAGAAGTATCGCCCATTGCTGGCACAAATGTCAGCGTTTAGATTTTCCCCATGAGACAGGTCTATCGAAAATCGATCAATAAAACGCTCTTATCTATTATTGGATCTTTGAATTCTTATGATAGTGAATACCCTTAACATTTTAATGATTTCTATAATTTAAAATACAATAATTTAATGTTTGTATGCACTTAACAAAAAAAATAGTAGATTCTGAAACAGTGCTACATTTCAGTATCGACTTATATACCATTTCTATCAAAAAGCAAAATCTTTAAGAAGTTAACTTTGCTAAGATCAATAGTACGTAATTATCTAATATCATTTCGTATGTAGCATCCATGTTTCATCGATGATATAGATAGTCTTCACCTCCCTTATAACCATTATTTATACATTCAAGAGGTTGCTTAGCCTTATTGTCCAACTGATTTTCCTATTAACTGATAAATAATAAGTATTTAAAATCACTTCCTTACGGTTCCTAAACTTAAATTCAAGCAAGTAACAGAACTGATAAATAATTTACTTTAACCAACAGTAATTGGGCAAACTCATTTGTACGTTAGACTTTTTATCCAGAAAGCGAATAAAACCATAGAATATAAGCATAGTGAAGAAGAGCCACAATCTTGCAATATAGGCAACGAGAGAGATGGACAATAAATAGATGCATTTATGTTTTTCTAGTCGAGATCTGTGGTTAGCTGGGTGTTAAGGAGCACGGCTTGGGTTATTGTTAAATAGCACGGCTTGGGTTATTGTAAGACTGTATCTTTTAGTATTGTTTTGTACCCTTATTGTTGTTTTATTGTGTATGCGCCGCGTTTCTGCATGGGCGCGGGGAAAGGATAGCGGGGGGACTGTTGCACGTGGCCTGAAATGCACGTTGCACCAGTCCTCCAGGCAGTCGATAGCTAGCCTCCCCGCCAGGCAGTCCATAGCTAGCCTTCTCGTAGTGTAGTTCTTGTAGTAGTAATAATGTGATTAAATAGTCAATATTCCCGTGTCTGTGCGTTTCTCTGCTACTTACTGATTAGCAACCCCGCACCTTACTTACACTGGGGATTATGAGGTGTTAATAAGTAGCCAATCGCAGCTTAGCTAAACAGCGGCAGAGAAAACTATCGGGCAACCATGCCACGTTGCCTGTATCGCTTCCACTTACAGGCAGCTGTACCCCGTGTTCTTTCTATGCTTATATCTCTAGGAATAAAACTTTAATCGCTGTAGTTTCGCAACTCTAATAGATTAAAGTTAACTATAACTACATGTATGATTATATTGTATTCCAGATGGTTTGAGTCTAACCGTATTTGGGCTGCCGGACTGATCGTCGGTGAAGTCAGCACTCGAGCATGTCACTGGCGTGCCAAAACGCTCGCTAGGAGCATGGCTATCCGCCAATGGCGTGCCAGGGTTGTGTGACATTGACACTAGGGCTTTGACCATCCGTCTTCGCGAAGGCGTTACACTTGGCCGCATTGTGCAGGGAGTACCACCTTTTGGTCCACTGCCACCAATAAAAGATCCCAACGCGCGTAACTTGGTCGCCGAAGTGTCGGTAAAGGTAAGCATCATTATCAATTTATCTAAATTCTCTTAATAAAATGTTATCCAGGCCTAAATTATACTTGTAAGGAAATTTCAAACCAAAAGTATATACTGTATAAATACACGTATATACAGTATTACTAAATAAATGAAGTTTGGTGCTCATTTTTGTTTAGATATACAAATAGATTCAAGTACCTAACTTGAATCTATGAATGAGTGAATATGACTAATGGAAAATGAATTATTTCAGGAGCCGAAAATATATAATCCCAATGGTACAGTTACTATAATGGCTGTAGATTGTGGTTTGAAATATAACCAAATCCGGTGTTTGATAACGAGAAATGCTAAGGTGGTATTAGTTCCATGGGATCACGACTTAAACCCAAATCAATACGATGGTTTGTTCATTAGCAATGGTCCTGGTGACCCAGTTATGTTGAAAAAAGTTGTAAACAACATACGTGCAGTGATTGAAGATAAAGTGAATGTAAAACCGGTTTTCGGAATATGTCTCGGACATCAATTACTATCTACTGCAGCTGGCTGTAAAACTTATAAAATGAGGTTAGTTTAAAATCACGAATCAATTTCATGTTTGCTTACATACGTGTATATAATTACGACTTTTTTCTTTTAGTTACGGTAATAGAGGCCACAATTTACCATGTACCCATAGTGGCACAGGGCGATGTTTTATGACATCCCAGAATCACGGATTTGCTGTTGGCACTGATACACTACCAAACGACTGGAAAGTTCTGTTCACTAATGAAAATGATAAAACAAATGAAGGCATTATACACAAAACATCTCCATTCTTCAGTGTGCAGTTTCACCCAGAACACACAGCTGGGCCAACGGACCTAGAATGTCTTTTTGATATATTTATGAATACAGTCAAATCTTACAAAGCCGAAAAGCCTTGTGTCGTTGATGATATTATTACAGAGAAACTTAAATTTGTACCAACCATACATGAAAGACCGAAGAAAGTGCTTATTCTAGGCTCTGGGGGATTGTCTATTGGTCAGGCTGGTGAGTTTGATTACTCTGGATCTCAAGCTGTCAAAGCTTTACAAGAAGAAAAAATTCAGACAGTCCTGATAAATCCGAATATTGCTACTGTTCAAACATCTAAAGGATTAGCAGACAAAGTTTATTTTTTGCCGATCACTCCGGAATATGTTGAACAAGTTATAAAAGCAGAACGCCCTACTGGTGTCTTATTGACATTTGGTGGTCAAACCGCTCTAAACTGTGGAGTGCAATTAGAAAAATCTAAAGTATTCGAAAAATACAATGTAAACGTGTTAGGAACTCCTATTCAATCAATTGTTGACACAGAAGATCGTAAAATATTTGCTGAAAAAATTAACGCAATAGGAGAAAAAGTTGCTCCTAGCGCTGCTGTTAATTCAGTCGATGAAGCACTTGTAGCTGCCGGGCAAATCGGTTACCCAGTAATGGCTCGTTCTGCATTTTCGTTGGGGGGTTTAGGTTCTGGTTTTGCTAATAACGAAGAAGAACTTAGGATACTTGCTCATCAAGCTCTGTCCCACTCTGATCAACTTATAATCGATAAATCTTTAAAAGGCTGGAAGGAAGTGGAATATGAGGTTGTTAGAGATGCATTCAATAACTGTATTACAGTTTGTAATATGGAAAATGTAGATCCCTTAGGGATTCATACTGGAGAATCTATTGTGGTTGCCCCAAGTCAAACACTTTCAAATAGAGAATATTACATGTTACGAAACACAGCTATCAAAGTAATTCAACATTTTGGGATTGTTGGAGAATGTAACATTCAGTACGCCTTAAACCCAAATTCGGAAGAATTCTACATAATTGAGGTAAATGCGAGACTATCCAGAAGTTCCGCTTTAGCTAGTAAAGCTACAGGCTATCCATTGGCATATGTTGCTGCTAAACTCTCACTAGGAATTCCTTTGCCTGCTATTAAAAATTCGGTTACTACTGTTACTACTGCTTGTTTTGAACCCAGTCTCGATTATTGCGTTGTCAAAATTCCAAGATGGGATTTGGCTAAGTTTACGAGAGTAAGTACGAAATTGGCAGTTCTATGAAAAGTGTTGGAGAAGTTATGTCAATAGGGAGAAACTTTGAAGAAGCTTTTCAGAAAGCGTTGAGAATGGTTGATGAAAATGTTAAGGGTTTTGACCCAAACATTAAAAAAGTAAACGAAGGTGAATTAAGTGAACCAACCGATAAGCGAATGTTTGTCTTAGCTGCAGCTTTAAAAGACGGATATACAGTAGAAAGACTATATGAATTAACTAAAATAGATAATGGTTTTTTAGAAAAGTTTAAAAAATTGTTTTGGGAAAAAAATTTTAAAAATATTTCATTTTTTTAAAAAATAAAAAAAATTTTTTTGGGGAAACCCAAAAAAGGGTTCTCATTAAAATTTTTCAATTTGGGGAAAAAATAAAGGAAAAAATTTTTTTTCCCCCGTAAAAAAGATAGGTCCCGGGGGCCAGTTAAAACCCTGAATTTTTTTTGGTCCCGAAAATTTCCGGGGATTAAAAATTTTTCCATCCGTGAAAACCAAATTTGATTTGTAGAGTTTTTAAGGAGCATAAACCCAAAAAAAGACTTAAATTTAAAATTAAACCTTTAAACGACCATGTTTAGATTTTCCTTGGGGGAAAAATTTTTTTTTGGTTTTTTGGGATTTTTAATAGGAAAAACCCCTTGAATTTTTTTAGGGGGAGAAATGTTAAAAGGCTAGGTTTTTAAAGGGAAAAAAGAAATTTTGGATTCCCCCATTAAATAACTGAAAACATTTTAATTTTTCCGATTGTTTCGAAGGTAAAAAACCGTAAAAACCCAGAAGAAATTTCTTTTAAAGGGGGTTGGGAGGGTATTTTTTAAAACCATCATATTTTTAAATGGAGGGAGGACAAAAAAAACCGGAATTTGTTTATTTGAAACAAGGAAATTTTTTTGGACTTCCCGATATATTAAAAAAAATGCTAAAAAGATTTTAAGTTTAAAGGGGGTTTTTTTTGATGGAAAGGGTAAAATTCAAACCAAAGGTGGAAAAAGTTTTTCCCCCAAAGATTTAAAAACCAGGAAAAATTGAATTTTGGGGGAGGGAAGGGGGAAACCTTATTTCCCGGGGGGGGCCTTCAATGTTTAAAGTTGGACCTAAAGAACGAAGAAATTAAAAGGGGTTTTTGGGCCTTATTTAAAAACCCAAGTTAGTTCGTTTTGTAAAGGACAAAAAATATTGGCCCCTATCCCTTTAAATTTTATAACAAGGTTTAAAGGGGTTAAAAGAAAATTTTTCTTCTCAACGGGAAAATTTTGTTCCAGGGTAAAAATTTGGCGAAAGGGTGGGTACTTGGGAAAAAAATTTGTTAACCCCAAAAATCCTTAAAAAAACCTTGGAAAAAAAAAAAGCCATTTATGCCGAAAACATTAAGGTAAAATTCCATTAAAACTTGAATTTTTTTTCGCAAAAAGGGTTTTAAAAAAATTTTTCAAATAAAATAAATTTAAACCCTTTTAGAGTTTTCCAAGGGGTTTTTTTTCCCCATTGGGGAAACCCGATTTCCTAGGAACATGATTTAAAAAGAAGGAAAAATTTTAAAATTAGGAAACCAAAAAAATTTTTAAATTTTTTTTAAACGGGGATTAAAAAATTTGGTTTAAAGGCCCTTTTTCCTTTCTCCTAACTGGCAGGGGGCAAATGTCCCTTTTGGGAAAATGGCGACGGTGAATTCTTTTTTTAAAATCAAAATGAGGAAGCCCTATTTAAAACCTTATAGCCCCGGGCTTAGAATTTACCAAAAAAAGGCACATTTTTTCGTTGAAAACTTCCCAATTTAAAAAGGGTTTTTAAAATTAAAAATTTTAAAGTAAACGTTTAAAATAAGTTTTTAAATTAATAAAAAATAATTTAGGTTTTAAAAAATTTAATGGAAAGGGGCATTAAAAAGGGGTTATAAATTAAAAACGAAAAAAACTGGAGGGATTTCTTTTCAAACTTTTTTTTTAAAATAAATAACATTTTTTTGGAACCCCAACTAATTTTATTTTAATTAATTTTCAATTAAATTTTAAGGGCTTGACAAATTGGGGGCGCCCCCTAAGGACAACAAGGAAGGGGATGACTTCCAAAATTTAATTGGGAAAGGACGTAATTAATTTTTAAAAAAACCCCAAATGAAGGGGTTTTCACGTCCGGTTTTTTGCTTGGTACCAGGAATACCGCAAAAACCCCCGGGTAGTTTCGTTCCTCTTAGTTAAGGGTTTCTGGTTTAAGCTTTTATTTGGTTGTTTTAAATACCCTTTAAAAAAGGGCTCAAAAAATAAAAAAATTTTTTTAAAGGTTTCCCAACAGATTTTTTAAAAATTACCCAAATTTTCAAAAAATTTACATATTAGGGGAATTCAAAAATTTTAAGGGGCCAAAAAAGTTTTGGTTAAAAAAATTATTTTAGGAAAAAATCTTTTATACCCCTTCCAAATTTTTTCCACAAAAAAAAAAAAAATTTTTATCCCCAAAACGAAAGAAGGGCTACTTATTGGTTTGTCAAAAATTTTTTTAAAGTAAAAAAAATTTAAAGGTAGAAAAAAAGTGGGGGGCGCCCCCCGGTAATAAAAGGAAAAAAGTTTGTTATGCATTGAAACATCTGTCCGGTTTCCTTGGGAGGGAAAAAATTCAAAAAACCCCCGGTTTTGCTATTATAAAGAAATTTTCCCCGTCTTCTCTGCCCTGGGTTTTAAAAAACTATAAAGATCCAAAAAAATCCTAAAATAAAAAGTTTTTTTACCTCCCAAAACCCCAAAATCTATTAAGTGTTTTGGTAGATTAAACCCCGCTTAATTAAAATTGGGAGGGGAAAACTCCACCACAGTTTGTGGTCCAAACCAGCCCGTTTTGGGGGAAAATGTTCTCAAAAAACTTCCTTGGGAAAAATAGGGTTTTGGCCAGTTCCAAAAAAAACCCCCCCTTAAAAAAATTGGAAAAAAAAGGAAATTTTGCCCTTGTTTTAACGGGAAAAACTGACCCGTTATTTTGATAAAATTCTAATTTAAAGAAACAAGACCCTTAAACCCCCATAATTTTTTTTCCCAGGGAAAGAAAAGAAAAACCCTTTTTTAAAAAATCCCCCAAAAGAAGGGGGTAAATTTTGGGAAAAAATTTCCCCAAAACCATTTATTTTTTAGAAAACACCAAGATTTTAACCCAAATTTTAAAGGGTAACCGGAATAAAGGCCTTTTGGAAAAGATAACTTTATGGAAAAATTATGTTTCAATTTTTTAGGGGATAGTCCGAACCGGTTGAGGAAAAAATTTCAAAAAAATTCCTGTTTTCCGGGATTGAAAAAAAGTTTTAAACTGCTTAAAAAAGGGATTTAACTTAAGAAGTTTTCATTAAATTCCCAAAAACCCAGAAAAAACCAAACACCAAGCAACCAAACAAAAAGGGAAGAAAATTGGGAAAAAATTTAAAGGAAATCCCCAAAATAAAAAAAAAAGGGCCCCAAAAAAGCCAAAAAAACCCCAAACACCCCACCCCGGGGGAAAAAACCCCCCCAACCCAAAAACCCCAACCCCCACGGCCAAAAAAACCGGATCCAAAAAAAAAGAAACAAAACCCACCCAAAAAAAAAAAAAAACAGGGGCCAAAAAACTCCCCCAACAAAAAAAAAAGGGAAAAACAACAAGACCAACCAAAGGACAAAAACAAAAACCCAAACCCCCAACAACCCAAACAAACCCCAGAGGGGGCCCTTTCCCCCAAAACCCAAAAGGGGCCCAAAAAGTGAAAAGCCCCAAAAAACAAATCCACCGCAAAAAAAACCCCAAACCAAGAAAAAAAAGGCCAAAAAACACAACCAAGAAAACCCGAATGAAAAAAAACCCAAAAAACCAAAAAAGCGGAAAAAAAGGCCAAAAAAAGACAACGACCCAAACAAAGCCAAATAAATAGCCCACAACCCCAAAACCCAGGCCACAAAAAACAAAGAAAAAAGGAAAGAAACAAAACCAACAAAAAAGCCCCCCAAAAAAAAAGGGAAAAAAATGGAAAAGGAAAAAAGGGCAGCTACGCTGATGTAGTAGTACTACGTCATCCAGAACCTGGAGCTGTTGCTGTAAGTATCAAACTATTATTAAATATACAGTTAAGCTATTCCTGAAATATAGAATAAATCTTTTATAATTTAATTGTTTGCCTGTATTTTTAGCGTGTAGCACGAGTGAGTCGCAAACCTATAATAAATGCAGGCGATGGAATAGGGGAGCATCCTACACAAGCGTTGCTCGACGTTTTCACAATTAGAGAAGAAATTGGTACAGTTAATGGATTAACTATAACGATGGTTGGAGATTTGAAGAACGGACGGACTGTACACTCCTTAGCACGACTTCTTACTCTGTACCAAGTACAACTACAGTACGTAAGCCCTCCTGGTTTGGGTATGCCGAAGCACATAACAGATTATATAGCCTCGAAAGGAATAACTCAGAGAGTATATGAACGGCTGGAAGATGTACTTGGTGAAAGCCATGTCTTATACATGACGAGAATACAACGCGAAAGATTCCAAAGCCAGGAAGAATATGAAAAGGTAAGTTATACAAGTGATGTCACTCATTTATTCCTAAGTTGAACACAGGAGGTACTATGAAACATTTCATTCAAATAAGCCCCATGTAATGTTTTATAGTACATCTAGACCTGTAAACCTGGTCTAAGTGGCGCCACACAAGGGAATCAGGTCAAGTCCCAGTCAAGTTATATCAAATAATAATTATCGTTGAGGACATATCGTCCAAACCTCAACGATCCTCCCATTTCAAGCGCAGTATGGCACACCCTGTTTTGGTTGATCTAAGTAGAGCCATACAGCCAATGAGGGTTTCCACTCAACAAAAAAAGAAAGCAAGGTTAAGAAGTAACAACAAAACCCATGGGATGAATAGGGGTGGTGACACTCCGTATTCTTAATCCGTCACCACACGGACAACTTTAGTTTAAATTATGAGTTAGGTCACATGGAGCCCATGTTACAGCCAATAATGACATATCTCTAATTAAAATATGTTTTTTTTTTTAGACACGGGGCTTATTAGTGGTTTCGCCTCAGTTGATGACACGTGCTCGAAGACGTATGATAGTTATGCACCCGCTGCCGCGTGTTGATGAAATCTCGCCAGACTTCGATTCGGACCCTAGAGCCGCATATTTCAGACAGGCCGAATACGGTATGTACGTGCGCATGGCTTTACTTTCCATGGTCGCAGGAGTCAATCCTCTTACGTAAACACGTAAACAATGACACTACGACATCATATTTCAAGCCTAATCAACATGGTTTGATCATTGGAAACCATCTCTAAATAACAGAAACAACTTAAGTAAAGACTGCATGTCATGTCGCCGACTCTGATTGTAGGTAAATCAGGTTTCATTTCGATTTTTGATATACTAATCACCCGTGAATATTTGTAATCGTTTTCACCGTTTTTATTTCAATATGTAATGATACTTTGTGTTGTGTAATATATGTACATAAAATGTGTGCCATCAATATATTACGATAAGTCAAGGACCGTATTTATTGTGTAATATGTAAAAGTGTACGTACATATCAAAATAATATTTTAAGAATAAAGTTATTTTCGCATTTAAAGATCTTTAAATTTATTCCTAAACCAAACTGCTTTGAACACCTTTAAACAGATAACTAAATAGTACCTTTTTTTTTTTTGCTTTTCTCACCATACCCTCCGTTGGGGAAATGCAGGGCGTGTGTGGGACTCCCGGAGAACCACATGGCCCCAAGATGTGGCCGCAGCGACCCTTAGGCGGCGATTAGGAAGCTAGCGACCTCTGCCGCGTCCCTTCGTCGCCTGCTTCGAGCGAGATCGGCCCTCTCCCGATCCCGCTCTGCCGCCTCCTTCTGGAGCATAACGTCCTCGTAGAAAGAGACCGCGGTTGCCCATCTCTCGCCACCCGAGGGTAGGGAAGGGGAGGGATTTGAATTAGTATCTAGATTATAAAAAAAGAGCAATAAATCAAAACCAGTTATTTATTATTATTAATTCGTAGCCCCAGATCTAGGAGGGTGGGGTGGGGGGCAAACTGGAGCACCCGCCCCGGGCGGCAGTTTCAGGGGGCGCCAAAATCATAAAAGCCTAAACCTAAGAATTAAATCCAAAAAAAATACCTTTAATAACTAGTGAAGCACTTAATAAAGTTATTTAAATATTATCAAAGAAGATATTGTAGTCCCGTGTAACGAAAATTACTGTTGAATATAATATGATTCGTTCATATTCAAACCGAATAACTAAGAGTGGTTATGACAACTACCTCTTACCTAGATAGATGGCTTGCTACCAATTTTTGAGTCGCGATATGATTTCGTTACTCATGCAGATTTATTACGGCGCTCTTATAACTTCATGTAAACTCTGGTTTCCCTTCACAACGTATAAATCTTTCGCCTTTACTAAAGATTTCCGTGGAGGGGAAGACGTCACAGTTTTGTAAGCATTTGGAACTTTACATCACTATATAACCTCGAATGTATGTCATCTTCACGTCAACTAAATGACAAGTACGGCACCTACTTTACTTCTCTAAGACATCAGATTTATGTCATTCTGACGCCAGTTAAGTCATAGTGATGTCATATTTACGTCTTCTATTTCAAATAAGAATCTAAGTCAGGAAGTGGGTAATTATGAGTATATATCTCTCAAATATGACATATATTATGTAAATCATGACGTGGCATGACGTCATTTTGACATCAGTTTGACATTATTGTGTTCACATGGAAATAAAGTATGATTAAAAATAAAAAAGTTGCTCCACAAAGCATCCGGAAGCCTGGTTTTCTCACTCATGTAATTTATCTCAAACGCTGGAGATAGGGCTGTAGATCTGGGGCTGTTAGTTTGTCTCATGTTTTAAGGAAGTTTACGTTCAAAAATAAAAAAAAGGCCAAGTTAGGAGCTGTAAAAGCCGGCATCCCTTCATCGTGGCGTAAAGAATTTGTCACTCCCTTTCTCAAGTTCTCGAATTCTATACTCCTGAATCACCTTCAACCTATCTTCATTCTCCCCTGCCCATCTAAAGTCATCGAGGCCTGTATAAACTAACAACATATTTACCGAAACAACTTACTAAGGCCTTCCCAATCAGGGTTCAGGCTCCTGCATAGCACAACTTGGGCTTAGCTAAAACGACATCCGAGCAGGAATTGAGGAATCCAAAGTTACTCTTTTGCAAGTAGGTATTCCTACAAAAAAAAATGGTCAATGTAGTTTTTACTATGTTACGATTTTAATATATATACACCTACCTACAGATAAACATTTTAATTACAAATAAGATCATTTATCTGATTTTAATATACTTAGTGATATTTTTTGACAAGACAATTCTACAAATAAAATGTTGTATTGATTATTTTATGTTTCATATCAGTATATTTAAGCGTTACATGATTGTAACGTGTCTTAAAGGAAGGCGAAAGGTTAAAAAATATTTATATTTAAATTAGGTCTCTGGATACTAGTACTGTAACACTGGATTGTGGGCCTTATTAAGACTTGTGAAACCTGTGGCTCGTATAATTCATTATTCAGTTATTGTACCTTCACACCAGCTACATAATTATGTAAAACGCGCATTCATAAATGTTTTAAATCTTTCTATACAGCTCAATCTTCTACGCAGCTTAATACATTACATTAGTTATACCCAAAGCATGGGGTGCTTTTCAAGATATTTTATAATGTAACTCAGCTCATACAGCAATACAAGCCATCTGTGGACCGGAGGGGAATAGCCATAGCGTCTTTTCGAGATACAAAATAGTCTGTCATTATTTGCGGGGCGATCTTCAACACGCACACATTCTCGGACCCCCATGCAGAAACAATTGACTTGTGGAACTCGCACATAACAATTAAAACAACAAATTAACAATTTCACACACACACATATACACATTATGTGTAATAACAGTAAGTAGTAATGAAGAGACGCACTACATTGACCAACCGTGGCTGGAACAACTATCCATACGCAATATTGATAAATTCGAGAAGTCGGTTAGGGCAATCAGGTTTAAAAAGTGATGCAAAGGTTTATATTAATATGAATAGGACTTTTTTGTTACTACAACAATCATCATTAACATTACCAATAGTTTTATCAATCACTAGTTTTGTCTAATACATATAATAACAATAATTTCTGTGAGTTAGCTTTTTCATTAAGTATGTTCCATCCTTCTATTGTTTACAACACTTTAAAGTCAGAGGTCTTAAAATGATCTGAGCAAATGACACTGTTTCTTGTAGGTGTCCAGGTAAGGTATAAGTTTTCATGAAAGTTCTTCGATTTAGCTCTAAAACACGGATCTTTAAGAAACCTGCAATAAATAAATAAAAACAATGTGGTCTTAATTCACACTTAGTAATTTTAATATATTGTGTTAATACTTACTCGTAAGTATTGTTTCATATTTGATTGGACGCAATTTTAATATTAAAGTTTAATTTAATATTATTAATAAAGGTTTAATTAGACTTGCAACGAATAGTATATTCGGCAGTATACCGAATACCGAATATTCGGCGAGGCCCCTGACCGAATAGCCGAATATTAGGCAAAAGTATTCGGCTGGATTTTAGCGCCAAAAACTTGTACAGACGTGAATTAAATTATGTACCTGTTTTATGTACCAATGACTACTTAATAAATGATTATAAAAGAAATGAGAACCTTACCCTTCTAAATTTTGATTACCACAATAATTCAAATACATAGAATCCTCCATTTTTCCAATTCAGAAGATGATTATGTACCTGTGTTATGCACCAATGACTACTTAAATGATTATAACAGAAATGAAAATATGAATATATACGTAATCAATCGATTTTAATTTTTCATTTTACCAATTATTTCTCAATGACAAAATATATTATTTAAGTATTCGGTATTCGGCCGAATAATATGTAGATATTCGGTATTCGGCCGAATATAATAAAAGCAGCCGAATAGGCCGAATACCGAATAGTAACCGAATATTCGTTGCAAGTCTAGTTTTAATATTATATCAGACAACATAATCTCAAAAATGATAATATGCACGAGAGACATGGATGTATTTGTTTTTTCGATGTCTAACTATTTACAGTATCGCTCGGTGATAGCGATTAGCAGTCGCTGTATTCAGATCGTGTGCGTTACCCCAGCAAAATAATGTCGAAAATGGTCATTTAAACTTTAAAGATAATTAGTTGCTCCCCTTCTGTAATTGTTAAGCACATTTTTAAATTTGTTTCACTTAAACTTTTTTAGTTATTTCAAAAAACATTTCCTGCTGGAGTAACGTTTGAAACGCTACCGCAGCCAGACATTTTCTTTTTTAATTGTAATATTGAAATAAATTTTAGTTAAATAATTAGTTATCTGGACTAGGTAAATGTTACAACTTATTTGGTATTTGTATTTTCTTCGGCTGCGAAGTTATTCGAAATCCTGCTGGAGTAACGTTTGTGGGTTTGCTGGATCTCTGAAACGGGTAAGCGGATTGTAACCATCTTTTGTACATAACTTCTTAAGGATTAGTTTTAATTTGTTCGACAATAAAATAACAAAAATAATGGACCGCTTAAAAATTATTTAGGTAAGTATGAAAACACTTCAATACGTCCTAACACTTTAAATAAGACCTCTAAAGACTTACTTGAAACGTTATTCTATTGCTTGTAACTACCTTCAAATGTATACGAATTTTCGTAAGAATACTGTAAGTGACTAAAAAGTTATGATGAAATGTAGCTCTCCACGTTCACGATCACAATGTGTGCGGCCTTTTTTGGCCACCGATAAACCTGTGTGTGGATATATAAACTGAATGTTATGCCAATAATTAGTTGTTTAGTTCAGTTGTCTACCTGTAGAATTTCAGCGTCGTACATATAATAATTTACGAGATAATTAAATAAAAGTCATTAGAAGGTGCAAGTCCGTGGTAATCCGACCATGTTTAGGTGGTTACAAAAAAGCGATCACCCAGTACATTGCGCTGTCTTTTAAAATGTTTAGTGTAATACACCTTACGATTTCGGTACAGTTGCGTGCAGTGTTACATACATTCAATATTTATTCATTATTATTACCTATTATTTATTTTGTTTTTTTTTCCTAATTGATCTTAAGCACTAGTTTCTTTACTTAAAATTTCTTTAGTCTTTTTAACTACCGGAGCTACAATCAACAGAAAATCTGCACTGC